GATGGATGATGGATGGATGGATGATGGATGATGGATGATGGATAATGGATGGATACAAACAAACATGTGCTGCTGACAAAATTTAGAGAACTAAAAAAACACCAACTGAAATGCAGACAGAACGTTCAAACAAATTACCTTAATCCCCATAAAAACAGGCTCCTTTAGCAAGCATTAGGAAAGGAACATATTAAATACAGCTTTAAGGCATTTACATTTACACGCATCCTACAAGGCCAAGGCCGTCTCCTTGATACACAGCCATTGAGAGGCGAAGCAGATCTGATGTTTTTCTACAGGAAGACTTTAAATGCATTTGTTTTTTTTTACTATAGTAACATACCTGATAAGAAAGAATGATTGAAAAAAACTCTCTAAATAATTTCACTTTAGATTATAGTGTAGATATATTCAGTTCCCACTACAACCAAACTCCATCTTTTATGACGCGTGTAAAACGTGTAAAACAGAGGCCATGAAGTCGTCAACAAACCAAGAATTTTACCTCGTAAATTCCACCAAAGAGAGACATGAACCTGCTGAGAAGTGCAGCACACAAACTGGCGATGTGTACGAACGGACCCTGTAAAAAAAAAAAAAAAAAAAAAAAAAAAGATGAATTGTTGGCTGATCCCATCAGGAAGTCACACAATATTTTATTGGATTTTTATATTTTGAGGATGGGGAGTTATGAATAGTTTATAGATGTGTTATTTTAGTGTGTCATGACAGAGGGATATCGTAATATTTCTTAGTGCTGACAAAAGAAATTCAAGACAATCACTGTACAAAAGTTTGTTCCTGTCATTTTTAATAAAACCTTAGCTTCACCGCTAAAAGGTCAACTAAGTCGTGATTCATTCACTTCCTGTTACGGGAGCAGCTCCAACAGGTGGCACTGAGTTACTGGTGTCAGCCTTTTTACTACAACCATGTGCTCTCTGGTCCAAACTAGAGATGTGTGATAATATCGACGTAATTATGTAACACCTGAAGAATCGTTACCAGTTCAGCTACACTTACGGTAATACACAATAATCCAACCGCGCAGTCAGAGTTCAGAGTCAACGTATGAATTTAAAGTGGAACCAATCAGACTAAAGCCAAGAACATAAAAAAAACACTTGTCTGTGTTCAGTGAAACCTCTGTGGACGTTGTGTTCGTCAGCACTTCAGCCTGATTTCATTAACAAAACCACTACATAACCAAAGACACTGGTTTCGTAATCAACGTTGCAGAGATAAGACCCTGATATTATACCAGAGCAACTAATGATTGTTGGCAGTGAGAGTGTGTTTTACAGCAGTAACAGTGTTCAACGTCTTTGGCAACAAAACAGAACAAAATCAACAACAAAAAAATTCTATCATCCTAATAGTTGTTTTTAATACAGACACAGAATGAACACACGTGTGTGTGTGTGTGTGTGTGTGTGTGTGTGTGTTACCTCCTTGCCCAGAGGCATGCCACTGCCCAGGGCACAGGTGAGTCCAATGACTTTGGCAACAAAGGTCTTGAAGGTGAGGTACTCCTTCAGCACCACTCCTCTGAGGATGGTCTTCATCTCTGGGATCCCAGACCCTGCAGACAGTGTTGGGCAGAAATCCTCAAAGATGAGGAAGAAGAGGAGCTAATAGCACAATAGAGGGCAGTGCTGCTCAAACAGTGGGGCGGGGTCAGGTGAGGAGTCATAGGGGTGTACGAGAGGGAACTTTCAGTTTGCTGTTTTTATTCATGGTTGAATGATAAACAAGGCTCTGGTCACTAGAGGGCAGCAGAGTAGATCATTTTATTAATCTATTTTGATAATGAGGGGTTCATGTGCAGAATGCTGCTGCAAACAGTGGTTTAAATGAATAAATATGACCAGACGCTACAGTATCTCAAATCAGGGGGGAATTTCATCCCCTGGGGAGGGCATGGCAGAAAATATTTGAGAAGCACTAACCTAGGGCCCCAGCAACCTCTGAAATACAAATCAAAAGTACTAAAAAGTACAAGCATATATATATATATATAAACATTTGATTAGAGTTCTTAAACCATGACTGTTAATTCGATTTCTGGTTCGTACCGACAGCCTGAGGTGCAAGGATCTGGGTGAAGCCGGCAGAGAAGGTGATGAGGACGACGGGGTATGTGACCCAGGCCAGATACTGTAGGAAGACGTTACTGTCCAGACCTCCATACATCCACTTCTGTGCTGTGGAGACACACACGCACACACACACACACAGAGCCATAAACGGCCATAAGCATAAAACACAGGAGTTGTAGTGAATCAGTAAATCTGACTTTTTTATTTTCCCCACATCGAATGGTTTGTTTTTATCATCTGTACTGCTGCGAGTTCTTCCTTATTTTAAATGGATGTATTAGTGTATTAGCAGAATGTAGAATAAATGGCAGTAAAGCCACAATTTTTTATTTTTTTTTTCCATGTGATCTCATGACTCAACAGACAAAGCAGTTTTCGGTTCACACCTAATCCCTCCTTATTTTAAATGGATGTATTAGTGCAAGTACTGCACAGTAGAACGCTGCAACTTTACACGTCATTTAACAATTTTTTATTATTGACAAAGCACTTTTCGGTTCACACCTAATCCCTCCCTTCTTTCCTCCCTCCTCCTCCTGCACCTCCCCACCGTCCCCTCCCCTGTGCTCCCCTTGTCCAAATCTCACCTTGTAGACAGATGGCAATGCAAAAGTCCACCACCCAGCTGACCAGCGCCATCACGAGTCCCAGCAGGATGAGGAAGATCCAGTCTTCCCCGACCCGCGAGATCAGGAACTTCTGACAGCGAACGGTACAGACTACAGACATGGGAGGACGACAACGTAACATGTTAGAGATGCAGAAAACAAAACTAAACAAACCTTTATATAAATATATTCTACCTCCAAAAATTGACCAGAGAGGCTTAAAAAACTTTAAAGTTTAAAGATTAGCTGAGTTTCCATCAAAAACACAATGAAAAAAACTACTTCCTGTCAATAGTTTAACAGATTCTTTCAATGTTGAAATGAACCTCAACCTGAGGAGTCGGTGTAGTTTTTAGAAATAAAACTTTAAAATGACTTGAACTGAGTTTTTAGATTGAGAAGTGTCGTAGGAAACTCAGCAAACTGAAATATACTCTGTAGGTGAGTTCCAGTGAGGATTAGGTCGAGCAGCTGATTCATCATCACACTGTTATGACATGAACAGGTTTTACTTCCTTTGAGTTTGAAATGAAAGGATGAAAAGTTACCAGCACAAGCGTCACAACAGCATTAATGAGAAATACCAAAGGCAGCGGAGAAATGAAGTACAGACGGGTCTATTATTGTACTTACCAGCGAGTACTAGAATACGTGGATGATGAAATTATGAATACTCTAAATGTCATTAATTATGAAACATTTGCGGTATTTAAATTGGACATTAGTGACTCACACACACACACACACACACACTCTCTCCACCTCTCCCACTGTTCTGTCCTTGTTCTCCACTGTTTGTTAGCTGTGGAAAAATAACGAGGCTAATTAACACAGACTTCACAGACACAACTCCATTTAATCAAAAACTGATTTTTTTTTATTAGCCCGCTATTAATCAAACACAGACTGTAATTATGCAGCAGTGCGTCGTCTCAGCCCGGCTTTGACGTTGTCATTTATCTGTGGCTGAATATCGTTCCAGACAGACGTGGGTGGTGACGTCCATCTTTAAAAAGAACCCTGATGTAGGACTCTGTATTTTGTTGTTGTTTTTTAGCTTTTGGTATGATTAAAAAAAAAACAAAAAACGAATGAACGAATGAAGCATTTCTTAACAGCGCCACCTAGTGAGTCATGTATTACTCATGCATCTTGCAGGTTTTCATTGAGGATAAAAAAAATGGGAACAACTTTATCAGTAGTCAAAAATCCCATGATTCCATCAGCATCGGTCGTAGTTTGAGTGACAACAAATTAGAAAAAGGAAAACGAGAAACAGACTTAACACAAACGCACACGTCACCGCATCAACATCTGTCGCAACCGCACACACACACACGACAGGGAAGAGCAGCGACAAACGCATTCACACGTTGATCAATCTTTACTTTCCGTTGGTCAACAGATGAAACTGTGACAGGAGTCAGTGGTGGAACGTTTGTGTGTCAATGTAAATGAGTTTCTGTGTGTGTGTTTTGTTTGTATGGCTTAATAGGTTTTTTGCCAAACACACACACACACACATCCTCTCGCTGCTTGTTGACTTTATTCCTCATGACATGCAATAAGCCACATGCTAGCTCCAAACACCTGCCTTTTGACTCGCCCTCTGCACCAATTTCTCCGTACATTCCTCTCCTCCCATCGTCTCTCCCTACTTTTCCTGCGTCCCTCTAATCACATCCAACCCTCCCCTCTTCCTCCTCTCCCTCCTAGCTCTTATCTGCTGCCCTCCACTCCTCCTCCTGACACTGGTTACCTGCTTGTCTGGTCGCTCACAGCTCAGGGAGAGACGTGAAGCTAAAATACCTGCTAACTGTGATTGAGGTTGCCTAGGATACCAAACTCTGGACTGACACTGTGCTCTACAGCACACATTAAAGTGCTTCAGCTGCAGTGATTCGTATTTACACAGATTTTTAATTTCCGGACCAAGAAGTCTCTAGTATTCCACCTCTCACCATCAACTCCGGAAACGCACATCAAGCTGCTGTTAAAAACGAAAACTCCATCAAAATTAAATGATCAAATTACATCCTGGCTGTCAATTTTTTTTTTCACCTTAACCAGGAGAAAGCACTGGATTGGTGCGATCCTTTACATAAATGGGTGATGTCACCTGCCACCTTAAGAGGAAAAATGATCGCAAGTAGTAATCTTGTTCCGCCCGCTGTTCTTAATCTACATTCACTTATTCTGAACACGGGGAGAGGAAGTGGGCCCACGCGCCTCTTATTGAATAATCGCTACAGGTGCAAATTTGCTGCTACTGCTTCCGCATAAAAACCCAATTATTTAAATCTCCTACTCATTTATTACGCACGTGGACGCCTATACGTGTGTGTAAAGGGTAAAGGAGCCCAACGCTAATGTCGTGATTTGGCACGGTCATGACGATAAGGCCACACCCATTTCAGCGTGCGTGTGCGTACGCATTGATTATACAGCTTTATACATAAGACGAAGAAGAGCCCATTAGAACTGCCTGGCTGTGTTTACGTCCGCCTCCTTGGTAATATCACAGCTATAGTGGACAAAAAGTTCAGCTGCTTCACTTTTCAAACAGCAACTCTGGAAATTCAGTACTAAATTCTAAATATATATATACTAAAATACTGAATATATATATATACATATATATATATATAGATATATTTACATAATACACATACATACATACATATTACATACACTGTATGTAATATATGTATATATCTATCTAACTATATATATATATATATAGTATCATTTTCTCATTATTTACCGCAGTAAGACACCATATATAATATTTATCTGGTTGCCCTGGGTGATATTTTCATATAAACATTTGACGTGCGGATCATACATTAAATATATGGAGCCTTCTCCTTCGGCAAAGTGTGATGTAACAGTACTTTCTTACTTTTTAAAGTTAAGTTAAAGTTAAGTTAAAGTCAACCAAATGGGATGGATGGATGTGGGTAATTTGAATGTTGTCATATGAGGTTATTGGTTGAGTATCGATTCCTCTCATTAACTATCGATACTAATTAGTTAATGAAAATCATAGTTCATATGTGATCAAGACATCTAGACATCTTTGACCCTTAGTGATAACAATTAAATGAGTAAAAATGTGAGTAATGTGATTTTTGATGACTAATATCATGTGAAAAATACGTGTCTGAGTTGTTGAATGGTCAGTATTTGTCATGTGTTTAATTGAATTTTTTTCTTGCTATTGGACAGTATACTGTTAAATACTGTCTATTTAATATTATTATTATTTATTAAGTCAGAGGTAAAACATTCCAACACTTCTCCCTCAACATCCAAGCCTCCATGTTTCCCCAGTGCTAATGAGACATAACCAATCTTTATGAGATTGTTGTAGAGGAACAGCCGTCTCAGGCGAGCGGACGAGAACACTGGGCCTCACTCCCATACACTCAGCACACGCTGGTCGCTCAACCAGCGTTGTGACATCGCTCGTACGGCTCCAGTACGACGTCTGCCTAACGAGGTGCAGTGGTGCGTCCGCCCACACAAACAAACATTTTCTAAAGCTGTTATAACAGAAACAGCCTTCACATCCAGGTGTAATCACTTCTAAAGACGCCGTGATGTATGTTTAATGTCTCTGAAGTGCTAACGCCATACGCTCACCTGGGATTGGAGAAGATCAGTGTGTTTCAAACCAGTGGTTACTGCGCTGTACTACAGTAGAAGCTTCGAACATAAAACCGTGGTTAAAAACCACAGTCAAAGGTCAGGGAAGAATCCGACGGAGCTCCTCTGACTTACTCAGGCATAATTAGATTATAATAATTTATTAACTGAATATCACCGTCATAATCATTTTCACCGACATCAATTAACATATATTTGCAATATAAGCAGTGACAAAAGGTCAGTAAACAGTCGCTGAAGAACAGGATTTATATAAAAGACGCTGCACTGATGACAAAGCACGAAAGGTCAGATGTTCAAGTGACCTTTTTACTTTCTTGTACTGCTCCCACCTGGCCTCCGACAAAAAAAAAACCCTCTAAGGAGTATAAGTTGCACCAGCCAGCTAGAGTGCCCTCTAGTGGCTGTCAGTGTGAAAATAACAAACGTGAAATTATATTTTAATATATGTCGCAAGTCCAGCCAAAGGATAAAAAAAAATACACATTATCAGGTATTTTCTGTGTCCTTTACAAAAGGAAACGTTTACAAAGACATTTAAAGAGTAGAGTCGTGTCCCTGGCTCTGCAGCTGCCGACCCGTGTTTGATGTGTTCTTTTGTTTTCTCTGTTGTCCTTCACCTTAAACCACAGCTAAAGAACAACAAATCCACTCATATAAATATCCCAGACACCCTCGCTTCCCTGACAGAAGTTTAAATATTCATGTGTGTGCAGTAGAGACGGAGAAAAGAGGAGGAAGATCACACTGTAATTCCTATTCCTTTGTTGGAAGAAAAACTGTTGAATCCACAGCCGGTCCATCTGCTGAGAGTGCACCATTTCTCTCTCTCTCTCTCTCTCTCTCGCTCTCTCTCTCTCATCACTCTTCAGCATCTTATGTTTTTTTTTTATCCATCCATCCCCACCAATGACCAATTTCATCTCCCCTCCCACCTCAGCTGCTGTCGAGTCAGCGTTTCTGTTCGGCGGAGTTCCTCTGCAGAATCCAGGGTTCACTGATTCACACATTCACATTCACGCCTTAACATTCCTCTGATTTCCATTTGGAGCAGAACCCGTGCAGTATTGCAATACACGGTAAATACACAAACTGCATATAGAGTACAGTACAACAAACATACATGAGGCGGCTGTAGGTACATGTATTCACAGGCAGAGGGCGCCGCCAATCATGACAGCCATTTGAGTTGAGAATGGAACGGCGTGAAGATTGCACGCGGCTGATGAAAAGAACACGTGTGTGAGTGTGTGTGTGTGTGTGTGTGTGTGTGTGTGTGTGGTTGGCTGAGGCAAATTGCTGCAGTAAGACAGCGGACATTGATCATCCTGTTTGTCTGCAGCTTTCACTGCCTAATCAGAACCATTCATCTGTGTGTGCTCTTTTACACACACGCACGCACACACACACACACACACACATACACACACATTTACATATACTGTATGCATTGCGCTGCGCACACACAACACTGCAAAGCTGAGATATTCTAAGCTGTTCATTACTTTCTATTAGAGGCCAGGCTGCAGGAGTTAGTCGTCTTTGGCTCCGAAACTTAAATGAGAGTTACACACACACACACACACACATATATATTTGGCGTTTTGGCTGTTGATTAAAACGAAGTTACAAAATGCATGTGTGAGTGTGTGAGTGAGTGGGTGTACGTGTGTGTGTGTCCGTACTGTAGGCTTTACTCACCTTGGCGCCCCCCCCCCATATATAACTGTGCTCAATCACCAACACACACACACACACACACACACTCAGAGCCCAACCATGTGATTATTTTTTAATTAACGGTGGCATTAAGGCGTTGAAAAGCAGTGGTGGGATGGGACTATTTCCTCCAGCGTTTGATAAAGTTGCAGCGAGACTTAATGACCACTTATTGAAGATTAATGACAGTGTGGTAATGCAGCTGTATTAGCTGTAGCAGCACAAGGGTCTGGTAGTGGGGAGGGCGGTTGGTGGGGGGGTTATTTATTTTTATTTTGTTTGCCTGTTTACCAGTGATAAAATTCCGGGCTGGTGGTTCCAGAACATACGGATACCCTGACCCTGGAGGACAAATAGACCACAGAACACAGTTAACAGTGTGGAGAGAGTGTGATACGCTGGTCTTTTATCTGCAGAATCCATCTTTCATTTTGAATACATTACTTTTTTTCCCCCCGTTTTGTTGGAAAATACAATTTTCTAGCAGTAATAGTCGTGTGATCCTGCCGCTCCTGAAAAGTCAGCAATGCGACACATGCAGGAGCAGTGAGAACGAGAGAGGCACGGGAGAGAAGGAGGGATAAGAGCTGGGGGGGTGCAGATGAATGAAGAGGAGGAAGAGGAGGAGGAGGAAGGAGTAAAAGAAAGATCGCAGAAAATGAAAATGAGTACAGGTAATAAATATGAACAAAAGAAAAAAAAATACACCAACTTTGGTGGTAAAAGTGTAGTATTTCCTAACAGAGGTACACATGTATTTTACATACCCACAGTGGCACAAACCATAGAGTAGAGTGGGGAGTAAATGTGGGGCTGAATTTTAGAACAACAAGAGACGAGAGAGAGGGAAAG